ATATATATGAATTTCTAGGCCGATAAACTGCCCGATAACCACTCGATAAGAGCTAAACCGATACCAATTCGTCCGATACCTTATCGGGTGGCTAGCGGATTAATACATTTAAAAGCCGATAATCGATAAGCCAAACCGTTAAGAGTAAATAACGCTGCCCGATAAACAGTCCTAGCATTCAATATAAACTTGGGCTTGATGTCCCTAAGTCTCAGTATAGTTTACTCAGCATGTCATAAACAATTGAAGTTTCAGTGTTCATAACCAGTTCAAGAATACATGTCTCATTCTAGTCCTATTCAATATTCTAGTATTATGTAACTCAGTATGATTCAGTATTCTAGTATTATGTAACTCAGTATGATTCAGTATTCCAGTATAATATAACTCAGTGTGATCCAGTATTCCAGTATCATGTAACTCAGCGTGATTCAGTATTTCATTATTATATATTGCAGTATGATTCTCATTTTCTAATTTTAAATCCCTGAATGTCGAACAACTGTATTTGGGCCTGAGGCCGCAGTTTATGCTTTATGCATTTTGGACCTGAGGTCGCAGTTATGTATACGTATACTTGGGCCCGAGGCCGCAGTTTGTGCACACATATATATTGGGCCTGAGGCCGCAGTTTAATATTCAGATAAATAGGTTGTTCATCATTTAGAAAAGGGATTGTTCATATCCTTACTTTCTTTCAGTTCAATTATCAGTTATCAGTTATCAGTCCAGTTATCAGTTATTAGTTATCATTTAATTTATCAATTATCATTTCAGTGATCAATTATCAATTCTCAGTTATCAACTTAGTTTTAGTTTCAGCATTTATAATTCTTTCTTTCAGTTGCTTTACATACCAATGCAATTCAAATGTACTGACGTCCCTTTTGCCCGGGGCCTGCATCTCACGATGCAGGTAATGATTTACAGGTTGATGATTCAGAGCGCTAGAATCCTCGTACCAGCTATTTGGTAATCCCCAGTTCTTTCGGGGCATTATCATTACTATAGTCTTCAGTATTTTGAGACAGTCAGCGTTTTCAGTACAAATTAGAGGCTTCATAGACTAGAGTAACAGTTAGACAGAGTCTCAAGTTTTTCATGTTAAGCTATATTTGCTATAATACGTTTCATAAATTATATTAGTATTTCCGTACTTTGATTTATATCATTCAGACTTTCAGTATATCAGCATGTGTTAGTTTATCTTCCGCATTTAGTATGTTATGATATCACATGTTGATTCAGCCAGCCAGTTGGTTCGCTCGGTCACATGTAGTCAGGCACCGAGTGCCGTGTTACGTCCAAGCCCAGGTTCGGGGCGTGATAGGAGAGGTAATTCCGGTAGTGCTCTGACCGTGAAAAATGGTGGATATTCTTTAGGCCATTTTTACGACACTCCGGCCATAGGTTTTTGTCAGCAACAAGCTTTAGAAAATCCCTTACTAAAAGTGGCCATTTATGCTATCAAATACTAATTTTGTTCTATTTTCATTTAATTTTGACATTTCCTAGGAAGAAGAAATCTGTGAATTTATTTTAGGGAAGAGAGATGAGATGGAGGTATTGATTTTCTTTTTCTTTAAGAAAATAATATATAATAAATGTTTTTAGTAGATAAAATATAAAAAAATGACGTGGAATATGATGTGTCATCCACGTTAAGCAAGTGAGATACACACACGGTCAGAGGGGTTTAAAATATTTATTTTGAATAAGTTAAAGTGTCTGAATGAAAAAAAAGTGAAGTAGGAGGATCAACATGACAAAGTGGCGCAACTATAGGTGCCATTTAGGCTATTCTACCATAAATAAATAAGAACAACTTATGTGGTGTTATGAAACAATAAAAGAAGAAGAAGAGTATTGCAGAGAAAAGTAGAGAGAGAGAATTCTTATTGCTTTGAGATGAATTACAATTGAATAGAACCCTCTATTTATAGGGAGAGAGTGGCTTAGCCACCAAGTAATAAATCCTAGAATCTCTCTAAATATAGACATTCGCCATAAATAAAATTCTATTTATAACACTCCCCCTGAATGTCTATTCAACAAATAATGTGCCTCGTTAAAACCTTAATTAAAATAAAACCCAATGGGAAAAAAATTATAGAAAAAGAAAAAGAGTACACATATCTAATAATACGCCTTTTGGTTGCCTCATTAAAAACCTTGCAAGGAAAACCCAGCGGGACAAAACCTTATAAGGAAAAAAGAGTACAACGCGTATTAACTCCCCTTAATGAGAGCATCAATTCACATCCTTGAGCCTTCACATTCAAATCTTGTGCACCATCTTCAAGAGATTGTTGGTAGAGATTTGATAAACAAATCCACCATATTAACTTGAATGAATATTTTGCACCTTGAAATCATCATTCGTGATAGATATATAATGTCTTCATAAATATCGTGGCATGCCTTTTCAATATTTCCATAGAGGTATTCTCGCTATCACATTATCATGCTTATAGTTATGCAAGATACATTTGTGCATAAATTGCATTGAGGATGTGGTACTTCAAGATCAAGAATTGTATATACTTTAAGCAATTTAAATCCTTCAGGAATTATCATATATGTATAGTCAAATAAGCCATATAAATAGACTTTAGATGCATATCAAGTTTTTATGTCATGCCTAGACATATAAGATAGATAAAGGTGATTGCAAACACTATTGACTTTATACTTTCAAGTTTTTGAACTACATGTCCAAAACTATATGTATTTCATATGAAACCAATTCTATTCGAATTGTTTCTTCAGACTTAAGATCCTCATATATATGTAGTGCTATCATAAATGTCGTCGACGAACATTTTATATCGGTTCCAACCTGCTTATTTTTCATAAAGACATAATATAGAGATCTCTTTATTCATATTTTCAGGTACCTGAACCTCTCATGAGATTTTATGAAGTCTTATGTCATGTGATCTTCTAGATCACTTGCCTCCTTTATTATGATCATTTTGATCATTTTCTCATATTCTTTATGAAGAAGTTTATTTGAAACCGATTTGTCTATACGCTTTAAGCGTACCATAGACTTTGTCCGTCTAGGACTTAATATGAGCATTTCCAATGAGAATATAGTTACTTTCATTGAGTCAGCAAACACCTCTGGCATGCTTTGCAATATATTGCAAATGAATTATCTTTTTATGAACTTCAAGTTCATATTATCTTATTCGAGGATCTAAATGTACAAATGATAATTCATTCCACGTAACTTTTTCTCAATTGTTTATCATCTCTCCCCCTCATGTTGGAAAAACTAACTTGTTTTCCTCAATTTTGAAAATCCATCTTTGTGCGTTATGGTGCTAATCAAAATACACACTGCACATTAATAATAATACGATGAAATTATTTGGTTCCTGACCCTAAAGCACTTGTGAGGGGAGAATGTAAGATACTTTCGTATATAACCTATATCAAACTGATATAGATAACTTTGTTCTCATAAGCAATAGTTTAGCTATTAAGTGAAGGCACTCAATAAATTATTTTGTTAAACAGCTTGTGATGTAAACCAACTTATCAAGATGAACTTCTTGAATAGAAAATTTGGAAATTATGCTCGAAATTAAAATATTGAGCAAGTTACCTCGCAAAACACCATATTACAGGTTAATAATAACCATACATGTAATCATCTCATAGATGCATCTTATGTGGTATACATGACAGGTGAATGAGCTCATATTCACCTTTGATATTTCCAGCATTCATGGGATTCAATCCCAATTTTAGTTGGTCAATTAATTAATGAGAACAAACAATATAAGAGAATTCGTAAAGAACTTCTAGTTCTTTAATATTTACCCATGTGAATTCTCTATTATTTTTGCACATCATACTTAGATTGATATGGCTAAACCAATTATGCCAACTGAATAAATTATCAATATTGATAAACTTCAGGTTTACACCATGACGTGTGCAATTATCAATAAACTCCAAGTTTATTATGATATGAGTTTTTATATTAATAAACATCCACTTTAGTGTGGTGTTCTTTTATTTATGTAGTACAAACTGGAGAATAAAGCGAGTAGCTTTTCACATACATATTATCCCGCTATAAGTTGTAGTAATAGAAGATATTAAATTTTTCCTTTATTTATAGTCTCAATATAATCAGTTGCTTTCGCGTATACTTTGGAAACCGAATAAGTTTCTTTGAGACTTACTACAACACAATACCTTATTGGTAATCAATTGTGTTTCTCCAAAATAGTATAATTGGCTCTTGCAGAGTTCTCAATTAATTTTGTAGTACCACATATTCATCAACATCCATATGGTGAATATCTCTTTTAAAGAGAAAATTACACCATTATGGTTATGGTCAAAATTATATGCAAGATTTGTTTCTTGCATTTCTGTTATCTTTTATTAATCACAATGCAAAGATATTTTGGCGTACAATAAGTACGTGACCAATGACCATTCATGCCATAATAATGACATTATTTTCTTATATCATCTCAAACCTCCTTCTAGAAGTGAGTGTGGTATATTCACTACCACTGACACGTTCATATTCTTCCAAAAATGAATATGTATTAATAAATCACATGTTATCACATTCACGTCATGAATGAACAATAATCATCGATATGTGCTTTACAAAATCTCATGTCAAATTGATGACAAATATTACTTTCACAAAGTGAAAGATTATTTTGAGAATCCTTATTGTTTTCATTACCACAATGATGACGATTATAATTTCATCTATTGCTACGTCCACATCCATTGATACATTCATAGTAATAATTTTGTTTTCTTTCAGACTTATCACATATTGCTATCACATTCTCTTAAGGGAATGTGAATGAAGCAAATTCAATGGGACGTATTTTCAATTCTTTGCCAACAATCATACATGAATTTGATCATGGCAAGACATAGAAATTTTACCCCTTCGGGTAGCTATAATTTCTTTCAAACTCCATTAGAGTTATAATCAAAATTTATTGTCTTTACTTGTATTTAAAATCAAACTATAAAATGTCAAGAATTTGAAAGAGAAAAGTAAAATACTTACCTTAAATTCAGAATTTAATCATGAAGGAAGTTCATTGAACAATTGACAATCATCATGCTCAATCCCAAAGTTTCTACTCAATTGGTTAGAGTCTTGTGCTGATAACGTATTATGGAATAATAAAAGAAGAAGAGTATTGCAGAGGAAAGTAGAGAAATAATTCTTATTGCTTTGAGATGAATTACAATGGAATAGAACCCTCTATTTAGGGAAAGAGTGACTTAGCCACCAAATAATAAACCCTAGAATCTCTCTCTAAATATGGACATTCACCATAAATAAGATTCTATTTATAACATGTGGAGCTTTTTTAAACCAAGCGTTATTAGATTTTTTTCCCTGTAGATATACTAATCCAAATGTATTTTTAAATCTTTGTCCAAATCTGTATAAAATTTCTATGTAATTGTGTTTTATTAGACATCATCTCGTCGATAATTATGCACATTAAACGAGTAATTGGACTAATTATAACCCCGTATAAAACGTCATCGTTTGGCTTGAGTAGTTGTCAGCCAATCAAAAAGCACCTCTTTTGTCTCCCTCCCTCGTCTTCCTCACCAATGAAACCCTAATTTTCTCTCCTATCGAAAAACATTGAAAACACCTTTTTCCTCTCCTTCTCCGAAAAAGCACAGAATCATCACAAATATACATGAAGTTACTCTTCAGACTTCACCTTTCGATGTTTCATCTTCTCTTACAATCTCAAAAATGACAAAACAAAACTTCACCACTATCCCCGTGGCCCCTCTCCCCGTTCCCACCGCATGCGGCAACTGCGGCGTCGAGGAACGGTGTTTTCTCCACCACGTCCGTCACCGAGGGATATTCCGGCGACTTTGCACTAACTGTGTTCTCAGACTTAACACTCAATCATTTTGCCCTACTTGCTTGCTCGTTTACGACCCTTCCCCTCCCCCTTCCTCTTCCTCAAACGGCCTCGTTTCATGCCACAAATGCTATTCACTCTCTCACAACTCCTGCGTGGGCCTCAACCCTCCTCACCCTTACGTTTGTTCCCTTTGTGTTAACCCTAATTCCCCTGTTTTTTTCCTCAAAAAGGGAAAAGATGTTGGTGTGGATAATGAGGATGCTATGGTTATTGATAAGCAGGCAGCTAGGGTTTTGTTAACGGCCGCGAGGATCGCCGCCGGGACTATGAATAAAGCTGCTGTGGCTGCTAAGGTGGAGGCGGAGAGGAGGGCGAAGGACGCTGCGTTTACTAGGAAACGAGCTAGAGAGGCTTTAGATCATGTTGCTTACCTTGATGCTAGGGATAAAATGAAGAAGAAGGATGTTTTATTGCGGTTGCCTTCGAATGTGAACAACAGAGGCAGTAGTAATAATAATCGATGCCTTAGTATGGTTGTAGCTGCTGTGCCATTGGAGGAGGTGCATAATGTCCTGAATGCAAATGCAGCAGATAGGTTGGATGGTTCTTCTGAGGTTTTGGTAGCTTTGAATGCTGTGGACTTGAAAGGGCAGAATCCAGTCCCAGGGTTGCCTAATGGGTCTGCAATGGATGTGGAGATGAACAGGGGTGCAATGGTGATCCCTACTACATCTGCTATTAATCATAGCGGTGCTTCTGGAGCTGAGGAGGACAAGTCTGGGGAACTGGAGTGTTCGAATGGCCAAAGGGAGATGGTAAACAAGACCGAACAGGATCAAGATCAGCATATGGTAAATCCCAATGCTGGGAAATCGAATGGTAGTATCTCGCATCAATAATTTGTAGCATGAATAATGGTAAGATCAAGGTGGGGTTAGAAAGATGTTGATTTGTGTAATCAGGTTATGATTTTGCGATTACTTGTGGCGTAATTGCCCTTTTTCGCAGGTCACATTGCTCGCAAGAAATCTAATGTCTGGGCATTCTATCTGTCTGAATGTGAAGACTGGGACATGGTGGGTGTGGGTAGTTTTTGTTAGACTATGGATAATATTCGTACAGTATTTTCTTTGTAGAGAGACGTTCTTTGTACTTTTATCTAATGAAAGGCCAGTTCCATGCGTTAGTGCTTCCCTGAATCTGCTCAGACTTGTTTTGTTAGTTTGGAGAGACTTCGCTTCATGCTTTCTACATTATTTTACTGCCATTAATCAATTTGTCCTTGTGCTACCTTTGAGCTTGCTACTATTGTACTTCAATTGCATCAAACTTGCAAAGCATATTTCTGATAGTTGTTTTTGCTTGAATTGATGGATCAAGTGGCTTTTCTTCTTACCTTTTTCTGGCATTCTATAGAGCAGTTTCTTGGATGAAGTATTGGAGTGAATAATGTTCTGAACCAAGGAATGTCTATTGAGCAGAATAGTGTAAATGTGTGCACTCAAGGTGGATCTTAGCCTATGAAAACTTGTCATCTTGTTGAATTCGTATTAACTACTTTTGCCCTGTGCCAAGTAGAAAAATTATGTCTCATGCTCAAGAAAAGGAGGTCGTGGAAAGAAGATATCAAATTGAAAAGCTTTGGCATCATTCTTTGCATGGTGTGTTATGCCATTCAGCTCAGGTTGTTTTGAAAAGCTCTGGTGATTTTGCTATGTTCTTCTGTTTTATCATGGCAGAGTATAGTCAAGAAAGATGGTTCATTCTGTTTATAGTAACGATTCTGAATATATTTCAGAATTTTGATGGGTTACAGAGTTGCTCTCGATTTGAATCCTTTGGGATGTCTTTTTCTTTTTTAACGTGTCTGCTTATGTATGCTTCTCCTGAAGGAGGATAGCCCTGTTAATCTAGTTGTATCGGGGAGAGTATCTGAATATTAGGCAGAGTGGTTGACCATGACACAGTTTTCAGTTGGCCGTATAGACCGTCAGATTCATCTGAATTTAGGAGGTTGCAGTTTCCATTTTAGCTCTTTCATTCCAAAGCTTTTGTAATACTGCATTAATGCTTGTTTTTTAATCTTTATTCATATCCCTTAACTTACCATCAGTTGGAAAGACTTTGCTTTGTTGGGAAGTGTCTCTGAGAGTTTCTTTTTTGCTACTTTTCATTCATATCTGAAGCTATGCTTCACATGAATCCTTCCAACAATTTAGGTATCAGGTAATGCTACCTACCTGCCCATCAATGCTTAGGCAATTAGGAAGATATAACCTTAGTTTTGTTGCCGCAACTGGTGCTTGATCCCTGGACATATCCAACCGTGAGACTAGTTAGAATTTGATTAGATTGTATTTACGAATCTTTTTCTTATTGTAATTTTGTTTATCGATTTACCCTCTATTCTAATTTATATGATATGATACTTTCACAAGATTTAATAATTCTATTCAATTAAATTGTAATGTGCTGGTCATCCGGTGAAATTAATTCCTTTTTTTTTTATAAATTTTTTAGTTATTATTTTATAATTTATTTCCACCGATAACGTCGATATCTCCATGATGATCTTGCGAAGGTAAAATTTTAAAAGTTGCCATTCTAGGAGCCTTCGTTCGAATTGAATACCTCTTCTAGTATAACATTATAACTAAAGATGATGAGACAGAGTTCAATTAAAACACTACAACATTTACTACCTTATCAACTGTCCATATAAAGTTTATCCCAAAAAATCACGTTACAGCAATCTCCACTACTCAACTCTACAAATGCTAAACCATAGTTCATTCCATTTCACCACATTCACTTTTCTTTCTATTTTTAGTAGCTCAGCCATTCTTTCTCATCATGGCTAAGTCAAGTTCCATGATAATCGTCCTCTCTCTTTGCATATGTGTGTCATTGATGATCAGCAGTGGAGAAGCAAGTTCCTTCTCATATAGCTATGGATGGGGTCCTGGGCAGCCAATTCAAGGTTCATACAATTATAATCCAGGCAATGGTGTTTCCTACTCTAACCCTTACGGCAGCTATAGCTCTCCATATTTTCCTTATTACTATCCTCCTTGGTTTCCTTTTCCACCAAACTTTCCTGGATATTCTCCTTATCCTCAACAGCAAACTGCTGCTCAAGATGTCCCACAACAAGCTGCTACTCATAAAGATGTCCCACAACAAGATTCAAAGCATTAAAACTTTTTTTAGTATTTGGAGGGTTCTTTTCTTCACCTTAATTTTTCCTATGAATAAAGGTTAGATTATGTTATTAGGGTTTAACTTGGTTGGGAATTTCATCAACTTTCTTGGGAGTTTTGATTTGGGTAGATTGTTGTTTCTAGTAGTTTCTTTTTATGGTCGATTTATAACTTAAGACACAAATAAATAATTTTGTCTCTATGTTCTTACTTGGTTTTTTCCATTGAGTCATGATGTTTCTTTGTAAGTTTGTTATTGGTTAATTATTTCAAGATTCTATTGACCCATTTAACTATCGTGCTGCACATTTTATTTCATAATGTTGAGATCAGTAAATCTACTCTTCAGTAGCCAGCTATTTTTATTGTAGAATTTTGAGGCGTTGGGCAATCTTTGGGCACGGGGAGTATCAATTGAAAACAACAAACTATTGTGACGGCGATAAGAAACGATATATTGTTAAATATAACATGATTATTGTTACACGGCGAAGCAACGCATGTCAGTGCAATTACTTGAGATCAGTGGCGAAGCCAGAAATTTCATTTAGGGTGTTCAAACTTGAAAGAAGTATAAAAAATCTCCAATAAAGGGTGTTCAATATATGTTATATACCACTAAAATCTAGTAATATTTTACCTATATATACCATATAAATTTTCGATGAAGGGTGGTCAGTTGACCACCCATGGGGCTACGTAGCTTCGCCCATGCTTGAGATCCCCTCTGTACGCTAGACGAGATTACCAGTCCGTACGGAAAAACCAATGTCAAGAGCAATTGAGAGAACAAAAATGAGAATTGAGAATGAAAGAAAGCTTGATTGCATGAATGAAAGCTATTACGGAAAGACAACACAATGTCGAGGGGGAAAAACGAGAAACACCAGTACAGAGAATTATTTGGTTGCTAGAAAATTTGATTGCTTGATCCCCATAATAGTGCAAATCAAAGTTACAAAACTTGACCTAAATAAGCTAGAGGAACATAATGGAAGTACATGAAATAAAACTACTCTATATTTACAATAAAATGACTTAGTTTTCTACAAGGTAGAAACATGTCCGTTACCAGTAACCTTGTCTTTGGCATTACGCTCTACGCGGGCTGCGTTGTGTGCACGTGCGATGCTGTTGACATCTGCCTGTGGCTGGGCTCTGGCGAGGGCTATCAGTGGAGTGACAGAGGCACATGCGCACTTGATACTTGGCGCAGCCAAGACCACGAGCCGTCCATGACGCTAGGCGTTGAGAGGCTTACTATGACGGCATGGGACACGTCCAACGGGTCATGGGGCATGGCTAGAAACCTGCCCATGACATTATCCCCCACCGAGTTGGCAACGTCTCGGCGCCTTATAATCATCAATAAGGCTCTTGTAGACTTTGAGGTTTGCTCCGCTCTCCCAAGTATTCTCCTCTGCATCACAACCTACCATTTCACCAAGAATTCTTGGTGATCTTTCCTTGAGGGGTGAATCACTCGATCGTCGAGAATAACTTCAGTATGCCTTTTTCCGGTTCAATTAGGGCCTCAAATGCTGGGTATTGTGAGTTGGTTCCATGAAGGATCCTCCATGTCTTCCCGAAAAGGTTTCAAAAGACTAACATGGAAGACGAGATGGATTTTCCACCAGGCTGGGTTATCCACCCGGTATGCAACTTTTCCAATGCATCTTTCAATGGACAAGGGTCCAATGTATTTTTACAATAGGCGAGGGTCATGGACCCCTACAAACAAGTACCACTTCGGGATTTTGACCATCACTTTGTCTCTTACTTGGTATTCAACAAAGCGATGATTTGATCAACATGCCTCTTCATCCGCTTCTAAGGTTTGACAAGATAGCTCCACACTATCTCCAAATTTCGTTTCCATTCTTTTGAGAAGCTAGCAGCTCGAGGAGATTTTGACATGTTTGGTGCATTCACAGTGTGTGGGAGTAGAGGTTGTTGTCCGGTAACAATTTCAAAAGCACTTTTGTTTGTACTAGAGCTCTTTTGTGAATTGAAACACAGTTGAGTATCATCCAGAAGTTTTACCCAATTCTTCTGCGATCCGGTCACAAAGTGGCAGAGATATTCCTCCCGCATGCCATTGAACCGCTCCATCTGGCCATCATATTGTGGGTAGAAGCTTGAGTTGTGACTCAATTTTGACCCGAAATACTTAAAAGAGTTGGGTCCAAAAATTTCTAGCGAAGCATGACTCGCGATCACTAACGATGTCTTTAGGCAGACCCCAATATTTGACGACATGAGAGAAGAAGAGTCAAGCTGTATCTTCTGCTGATATATATAGCGGGACTACTATAAATGTAGCATACTTAGAAAACCAATACACCACAACCAAAATAGTTGTGAGATCTCCAACCTTGGTCAATCCGATAATGAAATACAAGAAAACGCTTTCCCAAGGTCTCTTTGGGACAGCTAGTAGTTCCAAGAATCCTGCTTGTATCAAGTAGTCCGACTTGTTCTTCTGGCATACGAGACAAGTCTTCACATACTGAGTGACGTCATCGGCCATTTGAGTCCAATAATATGCACGACGTAGTAATGTCATGGTGCGTTCTTTACCGGGATAGTCGACCCACAAAGTACCATGACATTTTGCCAGAAGAATCTTTAGCCGATATCCTCCTTTAGGAACATAAAGTCGGTTCCCTTTCACTTTAAAGAAATCATCTTTCATGTAGAACTGGCGAGTTTTGCCATGTCCTACCAAATCAAGCAAATACTGTGCAACAGGATCCTTGATGAGTAGATTCTGTATCTGGTATTTTATGGTGGTGGCTACTTTGCTCCCCCTTAGGGTGGCGAGTAGGCACACCGATGCTAGATCAGCTCTCCGACTGAGCGCATCAACAACATGATTAGTCTTCCTACTTCGGTACTCTAGGTTGAAGTGAAATTCTGCTAGGAGTTCCTGCCACCTGGCTTGTCGACCATTCAACTTCGGTTGGGTCATGAAGTGGCTAACAACTGTGTTGTATGTA